TAGTTGAAACTTGGAGAAAAGACTTCAAAAAGAACATTACAATCAAGCCATGAGGAGCAGTCAGAAGGATGGATGGTGTAGGGGAAGGAGCTGCCTCTCTCCCCCAGGTGCTGTCTGAACTCAACCCTGTCAGGGCTGAAGAGGCTCATTTTCTTCTGACAACTTCCCAGAGATTTTTAAAGTTTTGACTGAGCTTAAAAAAGGCACAAGAAAAGAGCATCTCCACAGCAGCACAGCCTGGCAATTCCACAAGCCATGTCCTGTGCTCTGAGCCTGTCAATGTTCAATTACCTAAAGCTGACACAGAAAATTAAACCTCATAATGCTGCAAATTAAAACAGTTTAAACAAACTAAACCCATGGAAATTCGAGTTAAAGTAGGCATTAATGGCTGCACTAGACTTTACAGGAAGATTTGTCTGGATGAGTATTTGCCCAGGATTTTGGGGTAACTTGATTTTATGCACTGGTGATGTGGCACCGGTTTGATTTGCATTGGTTCTCCTCAACAGCTTTGTACACAGAGAAAGGGAATTTCTTTTTTATACAAGTTTTTAGGAGGGTGCCAAAAGCATCTCCCTTTTCAGTGTTTAAAGGGTGACAAAAAAGACGATGATGGATGAAGTAAGCACTTACAATTATTATTCCACATTCCCAAGAAAAGCAGCAAGAGAAAGAAGAAGAAGCTTGGTCAAACCATTCAGAAAAGCAGTAATTCCAATAACTCAGAGTTCCACTATAATTTCCAATCCTTTTTTCCCCTGCTTTCTTATGAGATTGATGCTTTTGAGAACCAGAAGTAAAATCATCTTCACTTTCTTCAACAACACCTCTTAAATATTTCTTTTTTTCCATTTCCCCCCTGCTTTTTATGGAGATTTTTCTCCCTGTGTTTACACAGAGCTATTGCTACAAAGCAATATTTTATTTTTTCCTCTCCAGGACAGGGGTGAGGAGAGCTGGGGGGACTTGCAGTGCTCTTTCCTGGGAGGTTCCAAAGCTGAGGGGGGATGGAGGGGAGCTGCTCCTGCAGGGTGTGACAGCTCCAGCTCCCCCAGCACTGTTGGGGCTGCTGCTGGGAGATAAGGAGTGAGAGCTGGTTCTGAGAAACGAGAGCTGGTTCTGAGAAATGAGAGCTGCTTTGGGAAACTCCCCAAGCGCTCCTGGCACTCAGCTGGGAGAGAGGTGCTGCTCCTGTGTGGCAGCACGTTTCTCTCCCTCTCAGGGTATTCCATAGAGGTGCACGGAGAGAAATGAAAGAGAAAACAATTTCTATTTCTGCTCAATTCAGAAAGATGAATTATTTCTTTATTATAACTATGCTAAAACACATTAATATACTATATAAAAGGAGGATACTAAAACTACACACTACTTTCTCTGACTCCAACTCAACTGGTGACCCTCTCTGAGAGTCCAGCCCCAGGTGGATTGCATTGGGTTGGATTGGGTTGGGTTGGGTTGGATTGGATTGGATTGGATTGGGTTGGATTGGATTGGATTGGGTTGGATTGGATTGGATTGGATTGGATTGGATTGGGTTGGATTGGATTGGGTTGGATTGGCCATCAGGCTCAAACAATCCCCACCAGAATCCAACCCAGCACTCACCCCAGGTAAACAATTCTCCAAACACATTCCACATGGGAAAAACAAGGAGCAGAAACAGAAATTGTTTTCTCTTTCATTTCTCTCAGTGCACCTCTATGAAAATCCTGAGAGGGAGAGAAACGTGCTGCCACATCAGCCCTTTGCATCCCTTTTGGGAAGCGAAGCTCCCCCGTGTAGCCTGAGCAGAGCTCCAGCAGCTCTCCCCAGTCTCCTGCTGCAGTTCCCAGGCTGATCCCTGCTCCCTCGGTTATTTTTAATGCGTTGCAGCTCCGCAGGGCTGAGTCAGCCGCAGCAGGAGCTGCAGCAGGGCTGGCTCTGCAGTGAGCACCAGGCTGGGTCCCTGATCCTGCCCTGCTGCCCAGCCTGGAGGGGGCAGCTGGGCTGGCTTTTCTGAGCTCCCAGAGCTGTGGGATGGATCCTGCTGCCGGCAATTTTACCTTGGAAAATCCAGGCGCTGCCTTTGACGCAATGCAGTAAAAGCTGGCAGAGGGAGGCTCAGGAGAAACTTTCAGCCGAGTTGCAGCTGCAAGTGAAGCCAGAAGTGTCCTGTGGGTCTTTCCTGCTCTTTGGGTCTGGATCAGGCTGAGATTTCACCCCAGGGAGGTGCTGGATGATTTCCTGGAGGTGCACACACACCTCCTCCCACCCCTCCTCACCGCTCACCTGTACAGAGCACTCACATTCCAGAAATTCACCTTCTAATGACTCAATAATTCACAGTTCATCATTTGCTGCCATCCCAGATTAGTTAAGGATACTTTAATCCTGAAAAAGCAGCAAAAAAGCCCAAATGTGTATGGGGAGAGCACAAACCCAGCTGACTGGAGAATATTCTGGTGCTTGACTCAGCTCCCTGGCAAATGCATCCTGTTTGTGTTTTGTAACCCTTCCCAGTTTGTTCCCACCTGGAATTCTGTTCTGGGATGCTGAAAAATAACTGTAGCATCTCCACAACCCAGCACAGGAAAAAGATCCTGTTTTAGTGCTCTCAGCTCTTGAAGCCACAGCGGTCTGAATATCCCACCTTAAAAAATATGCAGAAATCTTCACTGTAAATTCCTTTAATTATTATTTTTCCCTTCATGGATTTTTTTTTTCTATTGTTTAATGAACTGCTCTGTCTGAAAATAATTATTCCTATCACTGTTTCTATGCAGTCTGGAGGAGTAATTGGTGCAGAACAGGCAAATAACATCCTATTTATGCCTCTCTGCCCGGGAATTGTGCTCTCCTTTGAAACTGTTTGATTGCAGATGCCAGTAGACAAAACCTCTTGGCACCATTAAATATTAATCAGTTCTTACAGTTTTATAAACATTTAGAAATGTGTTAACCACTTGCTTGTTCCTCTCAGGATTTGCTGGGAACATCTGCAGTGGGAAATGGGCTAAATGCACAAATCCAGTGTGTTAGAGCAGGGGAAAAAAATACATTGTGGGTAATAACTCAAAGCTGTGAGATATTTTGGGTGGGAAAGGGGTGAAATGAGGATGTTGTGAGGATCATGCCAAGGGTTTTCCTCCCAGAATCACCCAGGGAATGGATGTACCCTGGGGTTAGCCCAGTCCCAGGAGCAATCCTGGATTGCCCGAGTGCAAACAGGAACAAACCCACCCAAATCATGGTTTGGGGGTCCCTGGAGCTGTGTCCTACCAGCACTGAAGAGAAAGAAGCTGGAAAGGAATCCCAACATGAAGAACAGCCCTGCTGGGGTCCCACCTGCACATGTTAAATGTTCCCCAGTCTCCTGCTGACACCAACATTAAATCCACGTGCAAGGTGACCCTTCCTCTCCGTGCTGGAGATTCCCAATTCCCACTCGGAGGGATGGCTTTGGCAGTTTTGGACATTTTACTGGCTTCTAGAACTTATTTGGAAGCACATCCATATAATTCCATGTCAAATATTGGTCTCTGCTTTAATCATGGTGCTCTCTTGAAAAATTTTGTTTAAATCTGAGGGGAAAACACCTTCAGTTGTCACAAACCTCTGGGCACTTTGTGTTTTGACACAATTTGATGTCGATACCAAAAACAGGGGAGTGCTGAACTCCTTATTCCTAAAGGTAAAGTTATTTTTGTGTCACACCCACACGTGACTACAGAGAAGCTGCTGTTTAATTTGTTAACTCTGCTTTAATTAAGCATCACTCAGCAGCCAAGCTGTCGAGCACCGATTCCCATTATTGATAGCAGCAGGAGAAACATCCATGGGTTTGCTCCACAAAGACACCCAGATTTGTTTGGAAGCCTTATCTGCTGTGGGTTCTCCACCACTTCTCCTGTGAAGAACGTGCTGAACCCTTTCAATTAAAAACTCCTTGATCTTCAATTATTGATGGGGCGAAGGCACATGGAAATTCTAGATTTTAATCAGACTCTCAATTAAGCAACAGAGTTCAGGGTAGTCCATGGCCTGAATGCAGGCGTGGAAATTATTTGCATTTCTTTGTGAGTTAAGGGAGGTGGGGCAGCAGCTGAAATCCTCATTTTCTTTTTAAAATGGGAAATAAACACAAAATTAATCCTATAATGACAAAGTAATTCCCACATTGGAGTTGGGGGTTTATCTTCTTCCCTTTGTTTCATTTGTCTCCATCTATTTTTCCATGTACAGCAATTTTCTGTTGGCTTTTTTCTTAACAAAATAACAAATTAACTCCCTTGGGTTAATTTTTGATGTTGGAGTTTTGTGTTTAGAGGCAGATTGAACTTTTTGGTTATTGGAACCAGAGAATTAACAGGGAGGTTCCCATACAATTAAAGCAAGAGGGGGGTAAAATAATCAGAACCAAGGCCATTTTGAGGGCCTCATGGTGGCTTGGCTGAGTCCCCTTAATGGGATTTTGCTCAGGTAAGTGACAAATTGGTGCCACAGAAGATGTCACACCCAGCCTCACTCCCCAGGAAAATCAAGGAATTACTTGGAAATTGGCTCTCTACATGTGGATGTTGGGGTGTAAGGAGGACAACAATACTTGCAGCAGATTTTAACATTTTTTGGCTCAATCCAAGCAGGATTGAGGGTTTGGAGACCTTCTTTCCCCTCTTAAAGAAAAAAAAAGTTGCAACCCTTCTAAGCACCTCAAGGCCAGGCAGAGGTGTTCAATGGATTCCTCTTTCCTCTAGAAAATTTGGGATATGGCTGTTATTTTCTTAATCCAGCCTTTGTGTTTTTAGAGGAAATTTGTCCATCATATCCAATCCCCAAGCCACAGAACATCCTGCACTGGATGGGACCCCCAAGGAACACCAAAGTCCAACTCCAGACAAATAAAAACACTAAGGAAAAGAACCTCAACCAATTATCAACCCATGCAGCTGCATTCCCATTCAGGAGAGAGCATCCAGCTTAGGGAAGGGCTTAAATTGGGAAAAAGTCACCAGAAATCCTGTTTTCATATTGACCTTTATTGAGCAAGAACTGCTGTGACTGTTTTACATCAAACAACAAAAGGTTGCGTACTGTGCATGTCAACAAGGTTCTCCCAGGAGTAAAAGTCCACCCTAATTGCACCAGTGAGGTAAACATAATTAGTTATAAGTAGCTTTTTTTTTTTTTTTTTTTTTTAAGGCTAGGAGAGTTCTGGTTCTCATGAATACTCTATTACTGTTTTCGGTTTGGTTTTGGCTCAGTTGGTTCTTTGCATAATACATCTGAACTCGTTCCTCAGATACATCCCTCCAACAGCTCAGGAAATTCAGAAAAGCTTCCTCTGCACATTTCATCTCATGCACTAGTAGTAGTAGTATTTTTTTTTTGTAGATCCCCAAGCTCTGTGGAGGGAGTACATCTTGAGCCTGCATGCATTCCCCCCCCCTTCCCTATATTGCACGAAAAAGTAAAATATTGTGTGTCTGGAGCCTCCGTGAGAGAACCCGATCTGCTTTGAAGCCGTCACTCACATGCATTTTGCAGCTGTCTATGGCTTAACCTTTTGCACCGACCCAAGCTCTTGAATTGGTTTGAATTTTAGCTATGGTTGCTTTTATTCGCTCTCTTTAATCTCCTTTACTACAGCATGTGAAGTGACTTTCTCCACTTTCTTGGTGGACACCAATTTCTCCTCAAAGCTTTCTTCGTGCTCCTCCACCTTCTGAGTGACCGTCACCGACTTTGTGATAAACGTGGTGCCACTGTCCCCACCCTCCCCTGTGATTTTCTCTGCTTTTTTGGTTACTACGATTTTCTCAGCCTTGTCATCCACGGGGCTCACATCGAGCCCGTTAGTGACCACCCCCTTGTCTTCCTCCTCCTTCTCTTTGGATTCCTCTTCCTTCTTCTCCTCCACCTCCCCATTGACCGCAATGTCCTCTTTCCTGGACTCCTTCTCGGCCTCGGCGCTAACTTTTGTTACTTTGGTGACAGTGATGGTCTCTTCCACCACAGCCTTGGCATCCTTGCCTGGGGAGGGAGGTTTCTCGGGGGACCGGGGCTTCTCGGGAGTCACGGCCTTCTCGGGAGTGCGCGGCTTCTCCGGGCTCACCGGCTTCTCGGGAGCGCGCGGCTTCTCCGGCGGCGCCAGCTTCTCCAGGACCACGGTTTTCTCGGGGCTCACGACCTTCTCTGGGGTCACAGCTTTCTCAGGGGTGGCAGCTTTCTCCGGGGTCACAGCCTTCTCGGGGGTGGCAGGTTTCTCCGGGGAGGTCACCTTTGGTGTGGCAGGTTTCTCTGGCGATGCCGCTTTCTCCTCCTCCTTGGCCGCCTTCTCCGTTTTCTCCGCCTTCTGTTCTTTTGCTGCTTCTGCAGGTTTTTCTTTCGGGGTGGCCTTGGCCGGCTCTGTTACGGGAGATTTCGGGGGGGACTTTACAGGAGGTGTTTTGACCTTCTCTGCCTTTGCTGGTACCTCTTCAGCTTTGCTCTTGGCCTCGGGTTTTTCCTCCTCTTCCTCTGCTTCCTCCCCTTCTTCCTTTTCCTCAATTTCTTCTTTTTCAGAGCCGCCTTCTTCTGCGGCATCAGATTTTGCAGCTTCTTCTTCCTCCTCTGCTTCCTCTTCCTCCTTCTCTTCCTCCTCAGCTGCAGCTTCTTGTTCTGCAGGAGCTTTCTCAGAAACTTCTTCCTCTGCAGCTTCTTCTGCTTTTTCTTCCTCCTTTTCCTCTTGCTGTGCCTTGGCTGCCATTTCTTCTGCGATGGCTGCCAGGGCATCTTCCATTTCAGACTTTTCATCCTCCACCTTCGTCTCTTCAATGATTTCTTCTACAAACTTGTGCTGGACCTTCAGCTTTGGTGGTTCGATTTTTGTTTTCTGGATTTTGGTGGATGCTATTGTGACAGATGGTTGTCTGTGTGTGAATATGGGACCGGTAATGCTTCCAGAGAAGGCACTGAATCTTGTCTCCTCACCCTCCAGCAGCTTCCTAAGGGAATCAGGAGGAGAGAAAAAAAAGAAAATTAGCATTAAAAAACCAAAATAAGGGACAGCTATGGGAAAACTTGTGTCTGTCACATCCTTGGAAGCGTCCAAGACCAGGCTGGACAGGGCTTGGAGCAGCCTGGCATAGTGGAAGGTGGCCCTGCTTTGGGATGGGCTTTGAGGTCTCTTCCATCCCAAGCCATTCCAGATTCTATAACATTTCCCTGCTGTACTATTCCCCTGCCAGCAGAATGGAACCAGTTTGCTGTGGAATGTGCTGGAACTGCCCAGGGCCATCCACTGCTCGCAGCCCCAGCCCAGCTTCCCTTGAATCTGCTCTTTTCCAAAACTCACATTCAGCAGTTTCCACCTTGCTTATGGCCTGGTGTGACACCTTCAGTGATCAGTTAAAATTTATCTGTACTGTCAGAAAGCTTCATTGTGGGGTAAATCAGCAGGGATTAGGACAACCTAACTAATTAACTAGGATTCATTATGACTTAGGCAAACAGAACTTGACACAGCCAACAGACCCAAATCAAATACAGTGTCTGCGACAGTCACAGCTGATTAGAGCACATGTTCTAATTTAATAATTTGGGCATCCACCTTGTCTTTGTGGGAATATGAGAACTGGAGGCTTCAGCTGACTTTGGCAGCAGCCAGCTACAGCCCCTGGGGTGTCTGTATGTCTGAGCAACCTCAGAAATTTCAACAGATCTGGAGATGGGGCTGGTTTTTTGTTGTTTTTACTTTTCTTTTATTCAAGTGTTTTTCATCTAAGCCTGTGACCCAGAAAAATCAGGAGCTCTCCAGTGAGAGTTCTGAAGTGATCCAGAGGAGACTAAAAAAACCTGCCAGGTGATGGCAACAGCAAGCAACGCTGAGCTGGAGATTAGAGCAGATGCCTCTGAAGGAAAGTTGAGCAAGAAAAGTAAAAGTGTTTGTGACAGACAGATCAGCACTCACTGCCTCAAACCGTGATCAAGCAAAATCACTGTGTCTCCCAGGCGATCAAAGGGAGCTCTGGTGACAAGCCCTGCATGCCTGGCATCTGCAGAGCAGACGGGAATTAAAAATAACCTCGTCTTTCGTCTTTGGTGCATCTCCTGCTCGTGCGGCCAAGGACAGAATGCGGCACGGGAGCCGCCGCACCGAGTCCCGCTGGGCCGTGCCCGCGGGGCTCGCTGGCAGCTCCGCTGCTCATTAGCTGGTCCCTAATGACCTTCTGGGCTCTCACTGCAGGGCTAATGGCTGCAAGGATTTAGCCAAGCTCTCCTTTCAGCCGCGTTCACTGCCTGCTGGTATTTCTTAGCTGTGGGAGCGCTTCCCGAGCCAGCAGCATCTGCAGTGCTATTAATATTCCAGACGCGTCGGCAAAGATCCCACTGTACCTGTATGCAGCAATTTCGATGTCCAGGGCCATCTTGACATTGAGGAGGTCCTGGTACTCCCGCAAGTGACGAGCCATTTCCCACTTCGTTCCTCTGAGCTCGTTTTCCAGCTGGTGAATCGTGTCCTGCAAGGGAGACGCAGAGAAACCCCTGTGACACACACGCGGGGACTGAGCGGGCAGAACTTCTCCGAGGGGACTTTTAGAAACTCTTCCCGCTGCTCGGGGAGGCAGGGCTGGCATCAGAGCAGGACCCACCCGCTCCCACCGCCCTCCGCAGCGTCTTCTCCCCCTCCCCGCCTTCCGCATCCCTCTCTGCGGAGCCGGCACAGGGCGCCTCCCGCATCCCTCCTCCCAGAGCGGGCACTTCCCGCATCTCCTCATCCCAGATCGGGCACCTCCCGCATCTCCCCATCCCAGAGCGGGCACCTCCCGCATCTCCCCATCCCAGAGCGGGCACCGGGGCACCTCCCGCATCCCTCCCACCGGACCTCTCCCGCACCCTTCTCCCCGCAGCCGGCCCCGGCCACCCCCGGCCGGGCACGGGACAGCCCCGCGCCGCCTCCCCGGTACCTGATAGGTGCTGAGGTCGTTATTGTGGCGCTCCTCGATGTCGCTGAGCTGCCTCTCCAGCGACTCCTTGGTGCCGCGCACCGACTCGAGCTCGATGCTCTTGGACTGGAGCTGCCGGCGGTACTCGGCGATCTCCTCCTTGGCGGAGCGGATCGCCTCCTTGTTCTGCTCGGCCGCCTCGGTGAGCTTGGCGTAGCGGCACTTGAACCACTCCTCGGCCTGGTGCATGTTGTGGTCGGACTGGCACTCGAGCTGGGCGCGGATCTCCTTCAGCGCCGTCGTCAGGTCTGTCTTCAGGTAGTCCTTCCTCTCCACGGTGGCGTGGGACGCCTGCAGCTGCGCCAGCAGCTCGGCCACCTCCTCCTCGTGGTTGCCCCTGAGGAAGGCCACCTCGTCCTGCAGCGACTGCACCTTCTTGTCCAGCTCGGCGCGCATCAGCGAGGCCTCCTCCATCTCCTTGCGCAGGGCGCGGATCGTCGCCTCCGTCTCGTCGCGCAGCCGCGCCTCATCCTCGAAGCGCTCCCGCAGGCGCTGGATGTCCTCCTCGATGTGCTCCGAGTCCAGCTGGATCTGCGCCTTCTCGTGGCTCACCTGCTCCAGCGCCCCGCGCAGCTCCCGCAGCTCCTGCTCGTAGGCGTCGCTCAGCTGCGCCCGCCCGGCGTGTTTCTGCCGCAGCGCCGCCAGCTCCGCCTCGATCTCCTTGTTCTGCTGCTCCAGGTAATGCACCTTCTCGATGTAGCCGGCGAAGCGGTCGTTCAGCCCCTGCAGCTGCTCCTTCTCGTTGGAGCGGCTCAGCTTCAGCTCGGCCGCGCCGTTGAGCAGCGAGGACTGGCTCACGTCCAGGCTCTCGGCCGAGCTCAGCACCGTGGAGCCGTAGGCGGCCCGCGGGCCGCCCAGGTTGGGGCGCTTGTAGGAGGAGGACACGGTGCTGCCCGAGCCCCGCGACCACGACTGCGAGCGGAAGCCGCTGGACGGGGACGCGCTGGCGCGGCTGTAGGTGGCCCGGGTCTCGGTCACCCGGCGGTACGAGGGGTTGCCCAGGGGCTCCATGGTGTAGCTCATGGTGGGGCGCTGGGGGCGGCGGTGCGGGGCTGCTCGGGCCGCCGCCGCCCCTTTTATAGCCCCGCCGGGCGGCTGCGGGACGGCCCCGCACACGCGGGCGGGGGGCGGCTCCCCCCGGCCCGCCCCGCGCCCCGCCCCGGCTCCCCCTTCCTTCCCTCGCCGCGTCCCGGCCCTGACACCTCCCGGTGCCCCTTCCCCTTCCGCACTCCCCTCGCTGCCCCCCTGTTCTGCCCCTTCCTCCCCTTTCCCCTCTCCACTGCCCACCCACTGCCCCCTTCTCTCCGCTGCCCCCACTCCCTCCTTTCTTCCTCCTGCTGCCCCCTTCCCTTTCCCGTGTTCCTTCCCTCTTGCCCTGCTTCCTTCTCCCCCCTTCCCTAGGCCAGCACGCTCTTTCTTTCCTTCCTTCCTTCCTTCCATTCTTTCCTTCCTTTTTTCCTCCCTTTTTATCCGTTCTTCCCTTTCTTTTCTCCCTTCCTTTTGTTTGATTTTTTTTTCTTCTTCTTCTCTTGCTTTCTTTCCCTTGCTTTCTTTCCCCTATTTTTCCATGCCTTTTCACTCCTCTCCCTCTTTTCCTCTCTTTTCTCTCCCGCAGCGCCCACGGCAGAGCGGAGCGCGGTGCGGGAGCGGGGTAGGGCCGGGGGCTGCAGAGCGGGGTAGGGCCGGGGGCTGCAGAGCGGGGTAGGGCCGGGGCTGGGGCTGGGGCTGGGGCCGGGCTGGGGAACCGGGAGCGGGATCCGGGAATTGGGATCAGCTCCTCCATCACCACGGACAGCTCCCGCCGGGCGGGCAGCGGGGTTCGGGGGGTTCGGGGGTGGGCAGGGGGCAGAGGGAGCCGCAGATGGGTGGGGAGGGTCCTGCCCCCCCTGTCCCCCCATCCCCCGGTCCCCAGGCGGGGTCTGGCTGTGAAGGTCGCAGCCGGAGGGGGAGGCGGCGCTCGCCGGGGCTCTGCGGCACCGAGCGCTCCCCGCACCGGCTCCGGGGGCTCTGCGGGAGCAGCGGGGGGATCCCTGGAGCCGTCAGCAAGAGTTTAGGAGACCCCCCCGGCATCCCAAATCTTTGCTCTTGGTTCTTCTCTTCCTCTCTTTCTTCCTTCCTCTCTCCCCTTCTCTTTTCCTCCCACCCATCTGCTTTGATCTAACGCTTGGTGCATTGCTCAGAATGAATAATAAATTGTTTGAAACCTTGTTAGAAATTACGGTAACGGGGAGAAATAGACTTTTGTATGGGCTGCATGACAGTGCCTGGCTGCCATCCAGGCTCTGAACTCCTCCTGGAGGGATTACAGCTACGGAGGAAACGGGTAGTAAACTACAAAGAGAAAGAAAAAAAAAATAAAATAAAACAACCGAAACCCTAAAAAAAACCTCCAAAACTGCCGCTGCTACAAAACCCCCGGCCACAGCTTGCACAGAAAAGCAGAGGGACGCTGCGGGGGGAGAGTTAACGCCTCGCTCAGAAGGTGCAGAAAAGGCTCTGTCTGTGTTCACAGGCGGAATTTTGGAGCAGATGATGTGGTGAAAGGCAAAACCCTCCTGACAGAGCACCTGGCTGCCCTCCTGGCGTGGCTGGGCAGAGTTCTGGGGGACAGGGTTAAACTTTGCCCGGCACACGGAGCCTCATTACCATGACGCTGTCATAGGACTGCAGCACTGCAGTCAGGCAGAGCCCGGCTCCATCCCCGGCTCTGCTCCCAAACTCTGCTCCAGCCTCCCCCATCATCCACACAGCACAAGTTTCTGCTAATTAAACAAACCTGCTTCATTAATTTTACTGAAAGTTTCTGCCATAGGCACAAACCCCTTTGGATTTCACTGGGGCTCAAAATAAAATTGCTGCCTATCAGGGTGTTGTGTTTTGTTTCTTCTTAGGGTGAAAGATATATTGTGATCTGGTTTATTAATGGGTTTTGTTTCCCCCTGATAATAAAGACTGGGAGGTGGGAACAGATTATGGTTTTATCCACAAGAAAAACTCACTGTGTAAGGAAACACAGAGTTAACAGAGGTGCTTGGGAGCTTTTATTATCCTTTTAATCTCCTGAATACAAGGACTGGCAGATGGAACTTTGTAATAAAATTGCCTCTCATTAAATACCTTGGTGTTTGAAATCCATTTACCCCGTATGTAAAATAAATTGTTGCTCTATAATCAGGCAGGGCTAGGTTTGATTTATTTATTTAATAGCGATACCAAGCAATGCAAACTTTTATGGAACACAATACATCTCATGGATTGCTTTAAAGATCAGGATATTTAGAAGCAGAAAAGTTGGCATTCACTGAGGTGTTTAGCGCAGAAATTCTGAAATAAAATTCATTGTTTTAATTGAAAACAACCTTGCAATGTGAATTTCTGCTCTCTAATCAGATGCAGGGGGAGAGGGCTCCTGCTACATTATCCTGAAGGTGCTTTGAAGGTTAAAGTGAGTCAGGGAAATCAGCCTGAGATGTTCCCTCTTTTCTGATGAGTAATTAATCCTTTTTGCCTTTCTGCCTGGAGATTCTGAAATGCAGGCTGATATTTCTGCTGAAGGGGAATTGCTTTTGCCTCAAAGTTGACCAAACAAGAGCTTCTACTTCAGAGCAAAGCTGATGTCTCAGGGCTGAGGCAGGAGGAAAGGAAAGGGGCACTCCCATGGAAAGGGAAAGCAGCAGCATCGATTTTAACCTTGATTTTCCATATTGACAAACCTGCAGTGATGGGAGGGTGAGGCTGAGTCCTGCAGCTTCCTTAAACAATAAGAGAAAAAGAGAGAAAATGCAGGAGGTGGAGTAGCACAACAGCCTGGCTGCTCCCAGGGAAAGATCAAAATATCCCCAATGATAATGAATTCATTGGAATATATTAAGAAAACATTAAATCAGATGAGTAGAATAAAAGGGGGGGGTTGGGTGGGGTTTTTATGTTGGAGAGAGGCAGCAGAATAAAGGCACTGGAGGGGTAATGCAACGTGGTTGGAACTCTTACAAATTATTTATCAGCTTAAAGCGGGGTTGTCTTGATAAGTTTTTAATATAAAGTGTTTAATATAAAGCCTGGTTTAAGTTTAAGCAATTCAAGCCTAAATATATCTTAATGATACCCATGTAAGGAGAGCAACCAGCAACATCATATGGAATTTTGTCAGAGAGGAAAAGGAGTCAGGACATCAGGATTTGGTCCGTTTTTCTGTTCCCCAGCAGGCAGTGCTGTAACTCGCTGTGACTGGCCAAGCTGCAGGATTTACACCCATTTGGTGCCCCTGATGTGCTGTGGGGTCACCCCAAACTCACCATAAATAACGTCCCAGGACATCAGCTGGCGGAAATTGGTCTCGTTCCAGCTGAGCCAGGAGAGCAAGGACGGACATCTGAGCCCAGCTGAGGATGTGTCCTGAGATATTTAAATAGCCAGGAAGGCAAAAATGGGATTTATGGCCTGAGGGCCTCGTCCTGGACTGCTGGATGCTCCTTGAAAAGGGATTTCACCCCAAGGAAGCCCAGGAGTGCCCAGCACAGGGCAGGACAGCCCAGGGCCGAGCAGGGCTGGTGTCCTGCTCCCTGGGAGGCAGATTTTTAACAGGATTCATTTTTGCCTTGTCATTTGTTCAGGATCTTGAGATTGAAAGGATCAGGTTTGGGGCGAGCTGGTTTGTGGGAACCCAGAGCTTCCCTCTGGCTGCCCTGGGACCCTGGCAGGGGTCAGGAACCCCCCTGGACAGAGCCCCCAGAGACACTGGCTGTGATCTCTGTCCATGGAAAAGAGTTTTCAATCTTACAGGATGAATTACCAGCTCTGAGTGTTTGATGTAAGTAATAATTAAGTGTGGCACGGGTGCAAAAGTAAAATTTTAGGATTCTAGATTAGGGGTCCAAAGGGGACAAGATGGAGGAAATTGGGTGTGCCTTGTCCTTTTTCTCCTTCTCCATGCCCTCCATGTTTCACTGTGGTGTTGGCATTTTTCTGTTGGTTCAGGCTGGGGACACACTGTCCAACGCAGGTGACAGATATTGGCACGTTATTGTAAATCCAGCACAGGTAGTTTGTGGTATTTAATGTTTGTACCATCCCACTGAGGGCAGAGCCCCACACGCTGCCCTGCAGGACAGAGCTGCGGCAGGGCAGCAGAACATGGTAGAGATAAACAGAATAAACCACCTTGAAACCAGCACAGACCAATTATGGCTTCTGCTTTGGCAGCGGGGCTGACAGACAGAGACTTTCTACAATCTCAAAATCATCAATACCTCAGATTCCAACACTGGTTGATAACGGATTATCCTGTTCACAAAAGGTCTTCAGCATCCTCAGGGACTTGAGGCGAAGAGGGAAAGGGGTGGAGGGGAAAGAATAAGCTGTGAGCATTTTGGGGTTGGAATGGATGATCTTTAAGGTTCTTTCCAGCTCAAACCATTCCAGGATTCAGTTTCCCCTCTGTCCTGGGCTGAGGTGGGGATGTCACTTTTTGATATCACAGCAGAAACACAAAGGTCCTGCTGGGCAATGCCTGTGCTCTGAAAAATTGATGTGTTCATTTTATTTCTGCTGGAAACCAGGCTCTCCCAGCAGAGCTCTGACACAGCAGCGTTTTCCTAATGCCCTTTTCATCATTCCCTCTGCGCCACCTGAGGCACCTCGGGACCTCAAATCAAGCACTGCCAGACACTTGGGTTATTTTCTTCATGCAGAAACGTTCTGTGTTGCATTTCAGGGTGAAATATTCCTGAGAGCTCAGCCCTGAGGCAGAATTTTCCTTCCAACGATCAGTGAAGGAAAATTTATTGGAAATTCCTGCAAATCATCACTGAGCTCGTTGCTACTTTCACCTTCCTCGATTTATCTGCTGCAAGAGCCCTTCATGGAATCATGGAATGGTTTGGCTTGGAAGAGACCTTAAATCCCACCCCACCCCATCCCCTGCCAGCGCAGGGACACCTTCCACTGGCCCAGGTGGCTCCAGCCCCATCCAGCCTGGCCTTGGGAAACATTCACCCCAAAATTCCCTGCACTGTCAGCACCAAGAATAATTTCACAGCTCCAGACACACTTCAGTCATTTACTCACTTCAAAAAAATGAAATTTTTACCAGACCACCCACACTTTTCTGGGGTGTTTTCCTCGCATTTTGAAAGCCCTGCATTGCACATTGATTTTATAACTCCTGGAGTGGGATGTTCTCTTTCCTGGCCACCTCCTGTTCTGCTTCCATGGGCCACTTCTTTAATCTGCAGGAATTCACAGAGGAGCAGGATGCTGAATTATTCTATGAAAGGCTTAGCCTGGAGTCTGCTGATTAATAATAGAAATAATAGAAATATATCCAAGCAGATTCCTGCGGCTTTGTGTGGTGTTCTCTGGGATAACAGGGATGGGGTGACAGGAACAGGGAAATTTGTGCTTCCAGCTCCCTGATATTCATGGCTTTGATTTTCCACCAATAAATTCCAGCAACTTTTGGAATCCTTGGCCAGCAAAAGCTCTGTCTGTGGTCCTGAATTGGGTGTTGAACTCCTTTCCACAGCTTCTTATAACTGTCCTTTAACCAGTTAATTATAGAACTGTGATGAACTTGTCGTGTGAATCACGGAATCACTGAATCCTGGAATGGTTTGGGTAGGAAGGGACTTTAAAGATCCTCAAATCCCAGCCCTGGGACACTTCCCCCATCCCAGGGTGCCCCAACCCGGCCTTGGACACTTCCAGGGATCCAGGAAGTGGGAATTCCATCCCACAGCTCACTGGGAATTCCATCCCAGCCCCTCCCCACTCTCTCAGGGAAGGATTTCTTCCCAATATCCCGTCTAAAACTGCCCTCCTTGTGTTTAAAGAGCAAATCCAGCACATAAATGACCTGTGACCCTTCTTAGTGACATTTCTGAAGTGATGGCCACATTCTCTGGACAGATATTGGAAAATTTGGCTCTTACCAGAGAATTCCTTTGTAGATCCCAGTGCCAGAGAAGCCAAAACCTGACAGGGCAAAAGAGAGAGTGCCTGGAACAGCTTTTGCCAGGCAGGAAGAGTTTGGAGGTGAAGGTTAAGGGTGCAGAGGCAGAACAAGCTCCCATTTATTCCAGGAAAAGGATGAATAAACTCCCATTTATTCAAGGAAAAGGATGAATAAACTTCCATTTATTTAAGGAAAAGGATGGATAAACTCCCATTTATTCAAGGAAAAGGATGAACTCCAAGGAATCCACTGAGCCTCAGTTTCCTTTCTTCTGCACCACCCATGCAGGATCCAGGCACAAACCCTGCCAAGGATCAGCTCTGAGCCACAGAAAATTGGGATTTAGCTGCTCTGGATGAGAGGCAGAGGAACCCCCTGGGTTTGCCCCTGGCTGTCCCCACACTCTGCTGGGGTTGGGATTCTCTGCTGCCTTTCCCACATGTGGTGTTTGATGAAAACTGCCACCCAGAAAAGCACAAATCCAGGTCAGGGCAGCAATCTTCTGGTGAGAAAGTGACCAAAAATAGCTCTTCTTACCTCGTTTGGAAAGGGCTTTTTTTGTAGCCTTCCCTTTCTAAAAATAGGACTTTGAGAAGTGGCCACAGTTGTGCTTTTTCTGCCCATTTTTCCTGGAGCTCTGTGTCCCCCACGAGGGCGCTGCCATAGGGCAAAGCTATTTTTAGGGTGTTGCTTCCCAGGAAATAAAGGAGATAAATTACAGCAGGTTGGAAATTAGAGGCAGTTACTCACAACAGCAGCTAAATGCCATTTATTGTCACACACTTGGGTCTTGCCAGCAATAATTAGAGGAATTATTGGGGGAAAAGTTCAATTTTTCAGTCCAGTGACAGCACCTGGATGGGGAAATCCTGCTGCCAGGGCTGCTGCTGTCTTTTATATGGTACATTACGTGTTACATGGGTACAGTTTTTCCCCAATGCCTATTACCTATATTAAATGGTGCTTTTCTATCTTTTATATGGTACATTACGTGTTACATGGGTACAGTTTTTCCCCAGTGCCTATTACCTATATTAAATGGTGCCTTTCTACTCTAAACCAATCTGTGAGTGCCAACATCACCAAGAACATGGAGGGAAGGAAGGAGAAAGAGGGAGGACAGGGCAGGCCCAAATCCCTCCATCTTAAACCTCTGACCCCCATGTACAAAACCAAACCCCCTGTACAGCACTCAGAAATTCTTCCCTCTACTTTGTGACTACTTCTACTCTAATATCTAAACTTTTGTGACTTCTTGTTCTTCCTGCAAGGTTGGTAAATCGTTCCATGGCTCAAACCCAAAATCACAGCTGTTTCCAGCTGCCTGCCAGGGTCTCAAATGCTTCTGACCTGGGCCCAGAACATCCAAAAATGTCTGAGGGACATTTTGAGTTCTGACATATAAC